AAATTCTGACTTGAACAACCACCAAAGTAGGTAATGATCCAACACTCTAAACTTGTCCTATGGAGGTTAAATTACACATATGAGCTAGAATCTTCACATGGGTAGCTTGTATTGTTGGAAAATTTTGATGGTGGGCTCTGTGAACTCCCACTCTTGGGTTGTTGCTGATTTGATGATTGATGGTGGATATATTGTTGGTTTAGTGGTTAAAATGATGGATTAATGGTGTGTAATTGATAGAAATTTCATTGGGTGCAAGAAGCAAAAGTTTCCGATTTTGCCCCTGCCTTGTTCGGCCATTTTAAGGCCAATTTTTAATGATCTAATGGGTTGAATCTGATGTTTATATGACGTATTAGATGTGTGAAAAATTTCATTGAAAAATAATGAGGTTTGGTTGGGCAGATGAATTTTTTTTGTGAAACTAGCAAATCTGGAAACTGTTCACGTATGGCTCTGACCAGCGGTGGTGTTTCGGCCGTAACTCCGTCCTCGGATGTCAAAATCATGTGCCGTTGGTGGCGTTGGAAACTAGACATTCCAGGCGTTAATTTGAGATAAAATGCACGTTCTGATTCTTTGTGAGTGAGCCGAACCAAACGTTTTAAGATCGCTGTCCTGTTGCTCTGTTCATCTGGAATGAAGTGATAAGGCAGCAAATTGATGCTCGATTTTGAACTAGTTGGGTGCCAAATTTTGAAATGATTTCTTCTGTGATATTATATCCCTATGAATGTATTTTTCAACGACATAAACCATGCCCCATTCTGAGTTAAATTGACTGAGTTGTGACCAAAACAAGAGGACTGCCCTGTTTTGGAAAAATACCGAAATACTTGGACTGGTTTGGGACAAAACCTGGGAGTGATCTTATTAATTGAAGTTCTTGATGCTAAACACTTACCAAAGGTATCATGGATGTATCTTAGACCTTTATTTCACAAATGAACCATGGTTGGATAGCTTTCTTGATTAAACGATTTAAATTGGGAAATGAAGTCAAAAGACAGGTTGCTTTAGAAATTTTCCTGAACTTTGGATGATTAATTAACTACCTTTCCGAAGGTATTTTTTCCCTGAAATTTGATAGAGCGGTACCTTTCATATAGGAGTAACATACTGCAAAATTTTATACCAATCCAAGTTCGTTTTGACACTTAGCTAAGGTTCCAATTTTTGGAAACTCAAATCTGGAAATTGTTCACCAGACTTGAATTTTCCCAACTTCGAGCTACCGTATCTCGGTGCTCGAAACTCCAATTCTGAATCCGCTTGTTCTGCCCTAAACCTTACTTGCACCTCTAATTGAGTTATAAATTTCAAGGGCTAGTTTGCAACGAGTGAATTCTGCCAAATTTCCAAAGTTAGCGAAAAAAACCAACCCCAGCTCAATCCTGAACATTCTGGAACAGTGATTTCAAGCTCATTTTTGAGTACTTTCCACTTAGATTCATGGAAAAGTGTCTTCTAAGAACTTTTAGTACTTTCCAAGAGGTTTCCAACGGTACAAAGTTTTCCAATTTTGGACTTGTATAGAATGAGCTACGATTTTCCAAAGTATGGGTGACAAATCTGAAATTTCCGAACTTAAAGGAAATTGAGAGTTACGAACTCTCTATTTTCCTTCGATATTGCTAAACCGTTTTACACTTGATTTCAAAGATGAAAATCAGATTTCGCTTGTCTTTTAAAATCCCATTTTTTAGCCTTGATTTACGAGTAATCAAGGCTCATTTTCGTGAAATTTTCTTAGATTGTACAAGTGTGCAATCTTCCTCGATAATTAGGGGTTTTAAGCGATAGTGTGTAATAGACAATTACTATTTACTCAGGTGCTCAAGGAGACCTTCAAGAGGATCTCGAGGGGAACACCTAAAGGCTCGTTTACGCACTTACTCCCTTATTTCGATTGGTGAGTGTCAAGTGCATGAACTTGTTGTTAAGTGGTTATCTGTTTCTTATCCGTTATGTAAATTTGAAATTTTGAGACGAGGGTGTACTTTATCGCACTCGTTCTCTTTCAAATGAAATTATATTCGAATTTTTCTATGTGAATTCGTATCCGACTTGTACATGATAATGTGGATGTGATTTGTATTTGTGATTCGTATACGTGATCCGTATTTGTGATTCCTATTTGGAATTGTCGATTTGAGCGTTGCTCATCGACTTATACTCGTATTCGTATTCGTATTCGTATTCGGGGGACGCCCAAACTCGTTGGCTAACTTTGCGAATCGAGCCAGCATGGGCTTGGTCGATAAGCTTAGCAAACCATGAGATATTTGTAGAGCATGATCTATTGGAGAGATCTTGTTCGGCATTACTCGTGCAGTATTGCCATGATATACTCGAGTATTATCAAAAACTTTGATGAGCGGGCCCGGTAAGGGGGTGTAACGGTGACGGGATTCGAAGAAAAGTGATGTATCTACGGATTTGATACTTATGTGGTTGACGAAGTGTCAACGTGAGATGTGATCAAGACTTTGACTCGACTACGTGGAATTTAGCTCCTGAGAGCTACAGTATCCTTGAATTGTTTCTGTTTATTTTTTTCCTATTCGAAATCTGAATTATTCGAATTTGATAGCCTTACCTACAATGTAATTGTTGTTGCTACTTGGATTATGTGTTTGCATGTGTGTTTTCTTGGCCTCACTGAGTATTGGCTCATCCTATTAGTTTGTTTTCCTTAACAGGACCGAATCTTGGGGAAGTATGGAGAAACCCTTCGTTGTCCTTTTGTTTAGGATTTCTACTATATTTTGGCTATGCCCTGGTTTGGGTTGTACTTTTGGAATTGAAATGTAAAATTTGGGCCCTGACGTGTATTTAGGATTTAAGTTGTATTATGATTACCCGATGTACTGGTTACATGTTAAGTGACTTGATAAGTTTTAGCGCTTCTGCTTTAATTGTATTCATGTTGCTCTCTTCGAAATGTTCGGTTTGGTTTTAAGTTGAACGGAATTGCTTGAGTCCTGGCGAGAGTTGGGCAGGCGTCCCGCGGATACCCTTTGGTTCGCCTTAGGGAGATGTGGGGGCGTCACAGTTGGTATCAGAGCCATATGCCGACAGTTGGGACTTTACGTCCTTCGTCTGGAAAAGTCCCGAGCCTCTCGTTCGTGAAGAGTCACGAAGCGAAAATCTCCGTAGGGGATGCCCGCGTGCGGGTGGCAAACTGATAGATACCCCGTGATGTGACCCTGAGAACTGTCACAGTTGGTATCAGAGCTTAGGTTTTAGATCTTTGTAGTGTATCTTAGGGTTGAAATTTAGGATGCCGGACTGTGGGACTGGTTTGAAAGTTAAGTGACCACTTGTAGGAAAAAAAAAAATCAGAGCCGCTTCGCGTGGTATCTGCGAAGGGTGAGATTGGGTCAAATGGTGTTATGGTCTTTATCATATGAATGAGTAAAGGCTTAAGTACTCTTTTAGAGTGTAAGCTGTGAATCATGAATGTGATAGGTATAAATCTTTTATCGTAATACTTGGGAAAGACCAGATATGTATGTTGGGTACGAATCTCAAATATGGTGATTTACTCTTGGGACTGGCCAGCTCGAGATGTGTATTATCTTATTTCGGATTCTTGTACCCGAGTACTTAAGAGTTGAGAGTAATGTTAAAAACTTAAGATCTCCATTTGCGAGAAACAAGAATGGACTAATGTTTCGTGAGAGCAAGTGCAAGAGGTCAACGGATGTCCAATTCATGTAGTAAGAGAAATGAGACATCTGGCGCAGAATATTTTAACTGAGTGTGGGACAATATTGACTAGAGAGAAGTGGAATGTAGTTGAGCCTAAGAGAGAGAGAGATAGAGAAAGATTGATGGATGGTCCTTTGTAACTCCATAGGATCCAAGAGTTTGATATGAGTTGGAAATGAACCAAAAAAAAAATTTATTAGCCCCTTTTGGACTGATGTAGTTAGATTTAGCTGGAGTGATGCTAGTGCTGAGGTCATTGCATTTTTGTATGACTGTATGGCCTACTTTTGAGGCACTTGACTTTACTTTAGTCGTATGTGACTAAAAGTACTTTTGTGGCACCTGTGTGCTGTATTTTTTTTGTCATACCCCCCGACTTGCTAATTGTATGAATTTTAAAAGCATAAATACATGTTAATTATTGTTATCTCTGATGTTTTCAAGATCGGCTCTTGTTTTAAGAAATTTCTTGCGTGATCGCTTTTATTTCTTGCATTAGGCACCCTTAAGATAATGGAAGGACTAAGGAGTGGTCGAGACCATGGGCGAGGGACTAGACAGACCCAACCTCAAGGGGGTGAACAAGGATCCGCAACTGGACCGACCCAAGGACAAGAGAATATAGAGGTTAACCAAATGGCTACTGCCATCAATAGGATGACTGATATCCTAGAACGCTTAGCTGAACGACAGGGTCCAGGACCGCTTAACCAACCTGGGGGACAGGATAGAGGAGAAGATAGAGCCTTGGAGAGGTTTCTTAACTTCAACCCGCCTAAGTTCACTGGAGAGCCCGACCCCGAGGCAGCTGAAAACTGGTTAGAGAGAATGACCAATATATTCGCCGCCTTAAACTATACCGAGGATAGGCGAGTGAATTTTGCTGCATTCCAATTTGAGGGAGTGGCACGCGCTTGGTGGGAACTGATAAGGGGAAAGTGGAAAAGAGCTCAAACCCCTTGGACTTGGGAGAATTTCACGAGGGAATTTAATGAGAAATTTCTTCTGCCCTTAATCAAGAGAAAAGGGAGGATGAATTCATCAAGTTGAAACAAGGAACCCTTAGTGTAGCGGAGTACGAGGGAAAGTTCACTAAGCTTTCTAAGTACGCTCCTGAATTGGTGATTAATGAACGGAGGAGGATTAGACGGTTCGTGCAGGGACTTAATGTAGAAATCCAGGAGGGTTTGGCTGCAGCCCAAATCTCTACGTTTACTGAAGTCTTAGAAAAAGCACAGAGAGTCGAGAGTGCAAGGCTGCAAGTTAGAGACTTTCATGCTAAGAAGATGGGCACTTCTAGTAACCATTCGGGACAGGCAGATAAGAGTGCCCCACCTTTTAAAAAGGGAAAAGGGATGGGTGGAGTGGAGATAACTAACATGCAAAAAGGGACTCAATCAAGAGTAGATCGCAATGGACGAGGTCAATCGAGAGGGACACCTCCAAGTGGTCAATCTGTGGCTCCCCAAGTCGTTTGTGGTTATTGTGGCAAGCTCAACCATACGGAGAATGATTGTTTTAGGAAACAAGGGAAGTGCTTGTATTGTGGCAGTACCGAGCACCAGATATCAAAATGCCCGACCGTACCAAAAGAAGGAGGTAGTACCCAAAGGCCTGAAAAGTCAGCCGCTAAGCAGCCTAGTGTTGGAGGAAGTCGATCTAATGCACCAGTTAGGGTTTATGCATTAGATTATCAACATGTTTCCGATTCTACTAAAGTCATTAGAGGTATGATTCCTCCTTCTATTTGTCTATCTAAGGTTCTCAGTGACCTAGTACCGTACACACTTTTTGCAAAACCCTAAATTCATAAGATAGAATCAAAGTTTAACTACTAATTGGGTAAATAGAAATTGTGAGATATGGATCGGAGGGTGTAAGTTAGTGATTAATTTGAAAGGCATGACTATTAAGGGGTATGACTATTATCCTAAGTGTGAATTTCGAGGACGAAATTCTTTTAAGGAGGGGAGGATGCGAGGACTCGAAATTTTTTTTTTTATTTTATTTTATCGAATATTGGTAGTTTGTTTAAATATTTATTTACTCATTTTTCTCCAAATTATTTATTTCGATCATTTAAAATCCATTTATATGGAACGATGCCTCATTTATATTTTTTAAAGCGTGTTGTTAGAAAAATTCACTTTTCGAAAACTCGTTTAGTTTGGAACAACGAGTGCATGTTTTTCGAGACTATATTTGAATCGAGAGTGTATTGATATTAGAGAGTTAACAATGATCAATGGTAGATTAAGAAAGGTTCATTAAGGAATTAATACTCGACTCATGTAAAGACTCACAAAAATTTACCTATTTTAAACTCCAAATTCTAGCTCATTTAATTATTTATTTGGCCAATTGCCCCAAATATTATTTTCTAACCTTTTTAGACCTAATTAAAAGAATCTATGGCTTAGTTATATTTTTAAAGTGACTTGTTTCAAAATTTAATTTCTGAAGACTCGTTAAGTAAAAATAGTGAATATGCGATTGGAATAAATAATTGAATCGAGGATACAATAAGTTTGGAAAAATTAGAGACATGTACATTAGTCTCAAATTAGGTATTTTTATGTTTAAGTGCTCAAGTATTAGTTAGTAATATAATCGTTATAAGAATTTTTTTTTGAAAGTTAAGCGTTATCGCGCAAAATTGGAAATACGTGTTTTACGCGCGCGATCAATTAAGGGACTTAAGACCGTTATTTTAGACTATTAAAAGTGAATAATAATAGTATGAATGGAAGTGCATTAGAGGTTTAGTGCACAAGTGAAACAAACCTGAGAGGAAACGAGCACGAAACGCGCGCATTCGCGCACTATCCTTAGTTGACTTTTGGAGCAATTTTGTCCACACATTCTTAAGCTTTTAGTAGACCCATCACACCAGATCAAAACCCTTCTTTTCTCACCTTAAGTGCACGGCTAGAACTCCCATTTTCACACCAAAACAGCCGACCAAACAGCAAAGGAAAGAAAGGAAGAAAAGCTTCTTCATTCTTGCACCAATCTTCCCCCATTTCATCTCAAAATTTGCATCCAGCTTACAAACCACTTGGAGATTCACTTAGGCAAGGAGAAGAGCTTCATTTCCACGGTTTTCTTCAGGCTTCAAAGGGCCAAAAAAAATTCTGACTTGAACAACCACCAAAGTAGGTAATGATCCAACACTCTAAACTTGTCCTATGGAGGTTAAATTACACATATGAGCTAGAATCTTCACATGGGTAGCTTGTATTGTTGGAAAATTTTGATGGTGGGCTCTATGAACTCCCACTCTTGGGTTGTTGCTGATTTGATGATTGATGGTGGATATATTGTTGGTTTAGTGGTTAAAATGATGGATTATTGGTGTGTAATTGATAGAAATTTCATTGGGTGCAAGAAGCAAAAGTTTCCGATTTTGCCCCTGCCTTGTTCGGCCATTTTAAGGCCAATTTTTAATGATCTAATGGGTTGAATCTGATTTTTATATGACGTATTAGATGTGTGAAAAATTTCATTGAAAAATAATGAGGTTTGGTTGGGCAGATGAATTTTTTTTGTGAAACTAGCAAATCTGGAAACTGTTCACGTATGGCTCTGACCAGCGGTGGTGTTTCGGCCATAACTCCGTTCTCAGATGTCGAAATCATGTACCGTTGGTGGCGTTGGAAACTAGACATTCCAGGCGTTAATTTGAGATAAAATGCACGTTCTGATTCTTTGTGAGTGAGCCGAACCAAACGTTTTAAGATCGCTGTCCTGTTGCTCTGTTCATCTGGAATGAAGTGATAAGGCAGCAAATTGATGCTCGCTATTGAACTAGTTGGGTGCAAAATTTTGAAATGATTCCTTCTGTGATATTATAGCCCTATGAATGTATTTTTCAACGACATAAACCATGCCCCATTCTGAGTTAAATTGACTGAGTTGTGACCAAAACAAGAGGACTGCCCTGTTTTGGAAAAAAACCGAAATACTTGGACTGGTTTGGGACAAAACCTGGGAGTGATCTTATTAATTGAAGTTCTTGATGCTAAACACTTACCAAAGGTATCATGGATGTATCTTAGACCTTTATTTCACAAATGAACCATGGTTGGATAGCTTTCTTGATTAAACGATTTAAATTGGGAAATGAAGTCAAAAGACAGGTTGCTTTAGAAATTTTCCTGAACTTTGGATGATTAATTAACTACCTTTCCGAAGGTATTTTTTCCCTGAAATTTGATAGAGCGGTACCTTTCATATAGGAGTAACATACTGCAAAAGTTTATACCAATCCAAGTTCGTTTTGACACTTAGCTAAGGTTCCAATTTTTGGAAACTCAAATCTGGAAATTGTTCACCAGACTTGAATTTTCCCAACTTCGAGCTACCGTATCTCGGTGCTCGAAACTCCAATTCTCAATCCGCTTATTCTGCCCTAAACCTTACTTGCACCTCTAATTGAGTTATAAATTTCAAGGGCTAGTTTGCAACGAGTGAATTCTGCCAAATTTCCAAAGTTAGCGAAAAAAACCAACCCCAGCTCAATCCTGAACATTCTGGAACAGTGATTTCAAGCTCATTTTTGATTACTTTCCACTTAGATTCATGGAAAAGTGTCTTCTAAGAACTTTTAGTACTTTCCAAGAGGTTTCCAACGGTATAAAGGTTTCCAATTTTGGACTTGTATAGAATGAGCTACGATTTTCCAAAATATGGGTGACAAATCTGAAATTTCCGAACTTAAAGGAAATTGAGAGTTACGAACTCTCTATTTTCCTTCGATATTGCTAAACCGTTTTACACTTGATTTCAAAGATGAAAATCAGATTTCTCTTGTGTTTTAAAATCCCATTTTTTTTAGCCTCGATTTACGAGTAATCAAGGCTCATTTTCGTGAAATTTTCTTAGATTGTACAAGTGTGCAATCTTCCTCGATAATTAGGGGTTTTAAGCGATAGTGTGTAATAGACAATTACTATTTACTCAGGTGCTCAAGGAGACCTTCAAGAGGATCTCGAGGGGAACACCTAAAGGCTCGTTTACGCACTTACTCCCTTATTTCGATTGGTGAGTGTCAAGTGCATGAACTTGTTGTTAAGTGGTTATCTGTTTCTTATCCGTTATGTAAATTTGAAATTTTGAGACGAGGGTGTACTTTATCGCACTCGTTCTCTTTCAAATGAAATTATATTCGAATTTTTCTATGTGAATTCGTATCCGACTTGTACATGATAATGTGGATGTGATTTGTATTTGTGATTCGTATACGTGATCCGTATTTGTGATTCCTATTTGGAATTGTCGATTTGAGCGTTGCTCATCGACTTATACTCGTATTCGTATTCGTATTCGTATTCGGGGGACGCCCAAACTCGTTGGCTAACTTTGCGAATCGAGCCAGCATGGGCTTGTCGATAAGCTTAGCAAACAATGAGATATTTGTAGAGCATGATCTGTTGGAGAGATCTTGTTCGGCATTACTCGTGCAGTATTGCCATGATATACTTGAGTATTATCAAAAACTTTGATGAGCGGGCCCGGTAAGGGGGTGTAACGGTGACGGGATTCGAAGAAAAGTGATGTATCTACGGATTTGATACTTATGTGGTTGACGAAGTGTCAACGTGAGATGTGATCAAGACTTTGACTCGACTACGTGGAATTTAGCTCCTGAGAGCTACAGTATCCTTGAATTGTTTCTGTTTATTTTTTTCCTATTCGAAATCTGAATTATTCGAATTTGATAGCCTTACCTACAATGTAATTGTTGTTGCTACTTGGATTATGTGTTTGCATGTGTGTTTTCTTGGCCTCACTGAATATTGGCTCATCCTATTAGTTTGTTTTCCTTAACAGGACCGAATCTTGGGGAAGTATGGAGAAACCCTTCGTTGTCCTTTTGTTTAGGATTTCTACTATATTTTGGCTATGCCCTGGTTTGGGTTGTACTTTTGGAATTGAAATGTAAAATTTGGGCCCTGACGTGTATTTAGGATTTAAGTTGTATTATGATTACCCGATGTACTGGTTACATGTTAAGTGACTTGATAAGTTTTAGCGCTTCTGCCTTAATTGTATTCATGTTGCTCTCTTCGAAATGTTAGGTTTGGTTTTAAGTTGAATGGAATTGCTTGAGTCCTGGCGAGAGTTGGGCAGGCATCCCGCGGATACCCTTTGGTTCGCCTTAGGGAGATGTGGGGGCGTCACAAAAACTAAAAGCAAAATATGTTTACACTTACACTCCCTGTTACCAAGACTCATCCTACATTTTATAGAGTAATGATAATGATATATTTGATGTTGTTACAAGGTAGACGTGTGCTTCATAGTGTGAGGGCAAGTAATTAATACAATACTCTTGCCAACTCTACATCATCAACAAATAACAACCAACTTTAGCTGCAGGCTATTGTTGATTGATTGACAATAACATTGAAAATTAAGATTATGTGTCATTTGCTTTACATGAGATGACAAATTTGGGAACAGAGAATCCTTTAAAACACTTTGCACATTTACACATTTGCTTGCAGCAAACTTTTGCATAATAGTCAGAAAGTATGGCTAGCTTTCTTCTCATCCCCACAACCATCGTTCTTTTCTGTCTTTTGATAGCAAGAACCAGCCATAGTAGTAGTAGGATAGTTACAAAAATGATTCATTATAACTCTATTCATTCCCCATATTTTGACACAAATGCTGCCGAACATAGGGACTTGCATATTTCCTTATCTCGCTTAAGATACTTGAAGGTGACAATGCAAGAAAATTTGAAGGTGACAGTACAAAATGATTCAGATCATGATACTGATTTCGAGACTGGAATTTTTGTTAACACATCAATACCTATGTTTTTGGTGGATTTCAACATTGGTTCACGGGAGACTGCTCAATTGGTTGCGTTGGATACTGGTAGTAATCTGTTTTGGGTTCAATGCAAACCTAGTATAGGCAGCAATAGGATAGTAGTGAGTTCAATGGTGTCTTGGGGCTTGGTCCTTCAGGAATCTCATTAGCTTCACAATTGGATAGTAGTGAGTTCTCATATTGTATTGGAAATTTAAGCGATCCATTTGATGAAAAAAATATACTGATCATAGGGAAAAAATCCGGAGGAGTTGAAAACTCAATTCCTCTTATTATTAGGGAGTTCCATTACTACGTAAATCTTGAAGGCATTAGCTTTGGGGGTAGGATGCTCGGCATTGACAAAAAGGATTTGAGAATGGATAATTTTAAAAGTGGTGGGGGTGGAATTATTGATTCAGGTTCAAGTTTGAGTTTCCTTCAAGATATTGCATACGAGAAACTTGAACAGGCAATTGTTGATTACATAGGGGACTCATTGGAAAGACGATATTTCTCTTTGGACAAGTATCAACTTTGCTATATTGGACACTTGTTTAGGGATTTTAAGGGCTTTCCAACAATAGCATTTCATTTTGATGGAGCAACAATGGAATTAGATAAAGAGAATTTGTTTAAGCAAGTATACCCAGATGTGGTATGTTTAAGTGTGTTGAATGCTGCAGAGAATGGTGTCGATCACAGTCTTCTTGGCGTAGAACTCCAAAAATATTTCTATATATCATTTGACATGAATGAAATGCAAGTTAACTTTGAGAGGATGGAATGTGATGCTATTTGGGATTATAATATATGATGAAATGTAAGTTAATTTCGAGAGGATAGATTGAGCTGCTCTTTGGGATGATAATCTGTGATGAGGATGTGATGCTCTTTCATGTTGAAGCTCTTGGAAATGCCGAAGAAAACTTTGAATGGGTGAAGCTGCCTTGTTTATGCCTTTGCCTTTTCATTATAGTCAACAACAAATTGTTTAAGCATTTTCTGTTCTATTCAGCTTTTGAATCGAATTTGAGATGGATTACATAATTTCTTTCTCTTCTTACTATGAGTGCTTCGGAAAATTCCATCCACAGAATTTGAATTTAAGTACAGTTAATAGAAGCTAATCCAGTTCTAATACTCTTCATGCCAACAGTCTCAGAAGTTACTTTTCCATTAGTAAAGAAACACAAGACAACATGTTAAACAACTCATGGTATCAATTTCCTTAAGCATACAGACTTTACCTGAGAACTTGGGATATTACATTCAACAGGGAAAAAAATAAACCACAACCAATTTTCTTGAGAAGGTAACTTGTATATACGTGGCAAGTATATATTTTACATGTTTTTAGTATGTTTTATTAGTTAATTTTGGTATGTTTTAACTAGTTTTTTAACTAATTAACTAGGATTTTGGTAAAGATATGTATTTTATGGTTTAAATGGCAAATATTACATTTTTATGGATTTTTATGGTAAAAACTTCATGTTTTTGTAGGTTTAATGAGCCAATCATCAAATGGCATAAATTGAGAAGACAATTGGATGATAATTGCTAATTGGAAGAGGTTTTAAGAAGACATGAAAAGCAAAACATCCAATTGAATGCAAGTGAAGATAGTTTTGATGCATCTTTGTATTTCGACTATATCTTGAGTTACACGCATTGGATCAAGGTGATCTTTATACCATTTTGAATCTAAGAGATAAATCTACATTTGGTATGAAAATATCAAAGTCTAATTCAGTTGTTTTCCTGGCCAAAAAGTCGAAACACAGAAGCTAATTTGTATGGTCGAGAGCTGAAACCAGGGATTGACCAGTTGATAGTATTTTGATCATATCTTGGTTCACGGAGCTCCAAATCAGATGATTCTTGAAGTATTGGAAAGCTAACTCAAAGATTTACAATTTTCATGCATTATCCAAGAGTTAGTTCAGTCTCTATCATTGAGAGAATAGCAATTGAATTGGAATCAAGTGCACAGAATTGAATATGCGACTTGGCAATACGTGGACTCAAGTCGCGTATTCTCAAGTCACGTATTGTAGCCTGATTTCTGCAATTTGCTCAGCCACTTGTCGTGTCTTCACACTACTTTCCAACTATAGTTGGAGAGAGAATTTCGGCTGCACATGCTTCTGATACAAAAAGGAAGAGAAAATGAGCTTTGTGTCTTGTCCAAAACCCACCTTTTTTACTCTCTTGACAATTAGATGTTAGAATCATTAGAAGAGAAGAGTAGAACATATTAGAAGGAGTTCACATCAAATTTTAGATAGAACTTAGAAGAAGTCTTGTCTTGTTCTCTCTAGTTAGGAGTTTTTGTGGAGAACAATTGGAGATTTCATTGTACACTATTTTGTTGAAGAAATTGAAAATCATTGGGAGTTTCTTCATTAACCTTGACTAAGTTTTCTTTAATCTGTCTTTTACTTGTGATTTATGATGTGTTTATGCAATGAAACTATGAGTTTACTTGTTATATCTTACATGAGTAGCAAAATTTTTAGATCTATAGAGTAGATGAAACTTATAGCTACTTGATATGAAGTGGACATGATTTACACTTGTTACATCTTGTATTAATTTGTCTACTTGTGCATGTTTATCACTTGTTGTTACTTGATCACCAATAGTAAATTCTTAGTTGTTATTATTCAATGAAAGTTGATAATAATGATGGAATAATATGAGTAGAGCTTGATGTGTGATTTATGAAAATAGAGGTACACTTAAGTGGATTAACTTGCATTTCATGAAGGAAACAAGAGTAGATCTAGTTATTCACCATGAGAATAGGGAAAACTAGACTACATCTAGGCCATTTCATCATGAGAATGAGATTTGGTAATATTGAAAATGAATCCCTAATTAAACAAGGTTTATAACAAGAGGTACATTTATTTATTTGTGTTGTTTATGCCACAAGTGGAATCTACATCCCTAAACTCAAGTAATTAGTGAATTTTCTCCATTTATTATCTTGTAATTGTCTAGTTAAGATTTGTAGGTAGTAGTAATTATAGATTCTCTTACTTAAATTGATTATAGTCTAAATAATAGAGTAAGTGAGTACCTAGTACATGATAACATCGCTATCCGTGGGATCGACCCGATATTTGCCCAAAACACTAAATTGACCTGTATACTTGCAGTCTAAATAGGTAAAATTTAAAATTAAACTCGAACTTAAACCAAAAATCCTTCAAATTTTTGGTGTCATTGTTGCGGAACAGCAATATTAGGGCCTAACAAACTTTATTAATTTAGACCTTTATATTAGCTTAGTTGATATTAGTGTAGTGAAAATTCTTGTTAATATTTTGGATTGGATTTTTATTTATTTTTGTAATACTACATTGTCTCTATTTTTCATTTTTGTAATGTATGCATCGAGTTTTACGTGTAATAGTACCTTTTGATCCGAAAATTGAAAGGACACTACATAAACAAAGAAAGTATACACCACAATAACAAGAAGAATAGATTCAACTAATAGCGGAAATTGCAATAGAGTTACCTTTTGAAAAAGAAATGACGGAGAATGAAGCAAATAGGCGAGTTCTAAGGGATTATGCTCTACTAGGAACTCAAGGATCCCAAACAAGTATAGTGCGGCTGACGGTAAATGCTAACAATTTTGAGATTAAACCATCATTAATCCAAATGGTTCAATAATCTCAATTTAGAGGTAATGTCATAGAGGATTCAAATGCACATTTAGCCACAATTTTTGGAGATATGTGACACAATTAAAATGAATGGAGTTAGTGATGATATTATAAGGCTAAAGTTGTTCCCATTTTCATTAAGAGATAAAACTAAAATTTGGTTACACTCTCATATTCCCAACACTTTTACCACATGGGATGATTTATCACGAGTATTTTTGAATAAGCACTTTTCACCGGCAAAACGGCTAAACTTATAATAGATATCACTAGTTTTAGCCAATAAGAAGGCGAATCATTATACAAATCATGAGAAAGATTTAGAAATTTGTTTCGAAAATGTCCACATCATAGACTTTCCGATTGGCTAATCGTACAAACTTGCTATAATGATTTATTTTTTTTTACAAAAACTACTATTGATGTAGCCGCAAGTAGAGCATTAATGGGTAAATCACTCCAAGAAATTCAAAGTTTGATAGAAGAAATGGCTGCAAACAATTACCAATGGACCAATGAGAGAGGTAATCCGAGACGTCATGCGGGTATAATTAAAATGGACACCCTCAACATATTGAGTGCCCAAATGAACAATGTGGTGAAGTTACTCAGTAGACAAGCCGAAGTTGGTCCAAATTCATCTAATACACATGTGGTTTGTTGTTCAATATGTGAAGGTGAATATAATACTAATGATTGTATTGATTTTGAACAAGTACAATTTGTCAACAACTACAATCGAAATGCTCAAAATAACCCCTACTCAAACACTTACAATTTGGGGTGGAGAAATCATCCAAAATTTGGATGAAAAATCAACACAATCAACAAAGGCCAACCAATCCGTCGGGATTCCAACAAAGACAACCACAAACGGAAACTAAACCGGGTTAGGAGATCGTGGTGGAAAAATTTGCTAAGGTTACTTCGGATAGGTTTAAGCGAGTGGAAGGAAGATTGGACCAACTTACTACAATGTATAAGAATGTTGAGGTCCAAATTGGCCAAATTCCTAGTTCTTTAAATAATAGAAATCAAGAAAAATTATCTAGTAAAACGAAAGTGAATCCCAAGGAGCATGTCAAGGCCATTACTCTTAGGAATGATAAACAATTAGAGGATTCTCCAATTGTTGAAGATGAGAAAAATGAGAGTGAAAAATAAGAAGAAAAGAGGAGAAACCAAGAGACAAGTGTGGAGGAAGATAGCCGGGAGAAACCAAGAGAAGATCAACCATCATCTTCTACTATCATTTCAATACGTCTTGCGGTCTCCTTTCCCCAAAGACTCAAGTCAAATAAGTTCAATAAAGATTTTGAAAAATTTGTTAGAATTTTCAAATAATTGCTGTTGTAAAACTAATAAACTATTATAGTATGAATAGAGATATTAAAGAAAGAAGTAGAAAAAGGGAGAATGATATTCTTATATTCTAACTAATACCAAAAGTCATCCCAAAGAATGTCAATGTACCTCTATATATAGGTACTACAAGATTAAATGTACATCAATCCTATTAAACACCCACTATTATAAGAGTATGAAAAAACTTATGAAACGGTTTTTCCACTACGTGAATAGAATTATGGATTGTAACTTCTATACATAATGTAACCATAAATCATGAATTAATTCTCTTGGGAATACAAAGAGACATCCACACTTTTAGTTGTTTCATAACACTCTTCCTTGGATGTCCGTTATACAAATAATATGCCCCACTAAAACCTTACTAGGAAAAAATCCATCAGAACAAAAACCCTAGTGAAGGAAAAAGAGTACACTATTCTTAGGTATTAATTTCTCCCCCTGATGCAAACATCATTTGAAATTTTTTAATCGTTGCATTCCAATACTCTTCACCAATTTCTCAAATGTTACAGTTGGCAATGCCTTAGTAAATAAATCCGCCAAATTATTATTTGATCAGATTTGTTGCACATCAATTTCACCATTCTTTTGCAAATCATGAATAAAAAAGCATTTTGGTGAAATATACTTTGTCCTATTTCCTTTAATATATCCTCCTTTCAATTGGGCAATACAAGCTGCATTATCTTCATATAATATAGTTGGAGGATTTTCTTTTTCGGAGGATAACCCACAACTCTTCCGAATTTAGTGGGTCATTGAT